TTATTTTGCTTGAGATTGGGATGTTTTTCTTATTTCTTTTTAAAAGTAAAGGAAGGGAAGAAGGTGTAGCTCAGTGGTAGAGTACATGCTTACATGCATGAGATCCTGGACTCAATCCCTAGTACCTCTATTAAAATAAATAAATACATAAACCTAATTACACCCCCAAGAAACATAAAAAATAAAAATAAATGAAAGTAAAGGAAGTTGCTTAAAATCTTTTGTTTGATTTGGGTTAAAGTTGTAAGTTCCTTGTTACATAGCCATTGAAATGTATATTTATAAAGTGGCTTAATGACATGAGGAAATGCTTAGACATATGAAGGGAATGAAAAAGCACAACTGTTTACAAATGTTATCAACTATATAAAACATTACAGAATAAGGCCGGAAGAAATGTGCCAAAAAGTTGAACTTGCATCCGATGGGTAATTTAATGCTTTTCCACATCTTTATGTGCTTTCTGAATTTTCTACAAGGGATATTTTAAAAAATATTTTTAAACTTTAAAATTACTAGTTTATTTTAGAATGTTTCTGTTCTGAATAGTATTTGATTGACAATATATTTAAAATTTCTATTTTTCCCCCTTCTTAACACTAAAAAAATTAGGCATAAAAATAAGTGTTAAAGTCAGGACTCAAGTTAAAGACAGATTTGCATTCAGTGCTCCATTCACAGTGCATTTTTTAATTGGGTCTGCATTTGATAAAGTGTAGTAGAGTCAAGTAAACCTATGTTCCTATCCTGACGGCATCACTTATTAGCTTTGTGACAACGGACCAATTAATATCTCTGGGCTTTGGTGCCCACATTTGTAGAACTAAGGATTTAGTATCTTTTTGGCTATAAAGTTTAAGCCCAGCAAAGGGTCTAACACATGATGGATACCTGATAAATTATACTTGTTATGTGTGCTGCCTCTGAATCACATTAAGCTTTCATTATACATGCAATAAAAAGGAAAACTGGCAGTCCCTGAGCTGCATTATCATAAATTTCCATAAGAAATTTGAATGCTTTGATGATATTTAGTAAAATTATCAGTACCAGAGACAGCTGGCTTCCTATCCCGTACTCATTTTTTCCTTCTTCCTTATTAACAAAACCTTGACTTTCAGTGGGTAATAATGCAGCCACCTTAAAAAAAAAATCACATTCTCCAACCAGCAGCACAGTGAGAAGTGGTCTATGAGATGTAAGAAGTCACTGAGGTGAGGCTTCCCACAAAGTTCTTTAAAGGGGGCCCACTCAGCAAATACACGTGATTCTATCTCTTGCCATTCCCTTTTTATTTTAATAAAATAATCCTGTAACTATATTATAATGGTGGAGCGCTGGCTGCTCTCCTGTCATCACAGGTGACAAGCAGAAAGGTAAAAGGAGCTTAGTAGTCTAAAAGGTAGTGTACAGCTGCCAGTGCCAACTCTGATCTGTGTCCAGACTTCTTGTCGAGGAAGAGGAGGAGAAAATCCTGTCTGATTTAAGATAAAGCTGCTTGAATTGCCTGTTAGGTGCAGATTGACAGATGTCCCAGAAAACAACGCAATCTCACCTTTGCGGAACAGGAATGGGCCCACGGCGCCGTGTGTTTCCTGGGACTTTGCTCGCATTGCCTGGAAGGTACTCTGGGCTGAGATAGTTTGAATCTGCTCCCCAGATAGAGAGAATCCAAAAAACTTAGCAATTTGTTTTATTCCAGCGGCCAGATTCTGAAAACAAAATTTTAAAAGATAAACTTCTTTCTGTGGGAATTGGACCCTAAGCAAAGACAAGCTTCTTAGACAGAATGGATTTGTTAAGCCTAATTCTAATTCATCTCTGTGTCTCTCTCTTCAGACTTACTTTGATTCTTCTTTATAAATATTTGAAACATCCCTGTAAGATATTCTGTATTGATTTCACTTTGTAGTTTCCATTTATGACTCTTGTTTAACTAGTCAAGGTATAGATAATGAAAATAAGCATTCATTAGCAGGTTAGAGTTTTACCTAAGATAATAATTCATTTTATCAAAAAGCACCAGTCTATACCAGGTGAGGAAATTAATGTATTTGTACCTACTCATTCAAATTCTGTTTTCTTCTGAATCCTGTTTATAGCTAATGTTTAATTCTATCAAGAAAGTCTAATTTTTGGAATTACAAAAACTTGAAGGAATCTTTATAATGTTTAATACTTTTGTAAATAATCAACCACTTCAACAGTATGGCTGACCAATGGAGGTTTATAAATCTTCTAGAACAGTTCCTTAAACTGTATTCTACAGAACACTAATATATTTCAAGGTGGTTATAGATGTTTCCTGGGAGAAAAAAAAAGAACAGTAAAGGGTTAAGGTCAAGTAAGTTTGGAACCTTTGGGATGAAAAAGGTAAACTTTTTTTTCCCCTGCAGAATCTCTCTTTAATATGCCAATGTGCCATGTGAATTTCCCAAAGGAGCAGGCTAAATAGAACAGTCCTCAGGTCATCTTGAACCAGCAACCTCCTTCCTACCCCTGGAGAGAAGTATTAACATCTGGGACAATATTAATATCCCATGGAGCACAAGTTTTAGAAACATTCTAGACTAGAAGGAGAAAAGACTAAATCAGCATATTCTTTCATGTTATGTAAGTACATACTCTAAACAAAAAGGATGGATTTAATTATACTTTCCTGTGATACAAATCACATGGGACACTAGTGATAAAAACTCAGTTCAGTTAGAGAACATTTGACACATTTCCTTCCCTTTGAACACACTTTCCAGAGAGCGTTAATGCTCCAGGACTCTGGTTTCCCTCCTTCGTCCTTAGCCACCTTTGTAGTCTCCTTTGCCGAAGCCTCCTCTTTTCCCCAAACTCTTTATGTAGGAGGTTCTGCAGAGCTCAGTTCTTGGTAGTCTTCTCTTCTCGATCCATATGCTTACATACACAGGTATGTAATCTCATGGTTGTAATTGTCGTCTATGTGCCAAATTTATATCCGTAGCTCAGAACTCTCTGCCGTCAGACTTCAATACCCAGTTGCCTACTTGACCTCTCACCTTTGGGTGACTAATAAACATCTCAAATTTAGCATGTCCAAAACCAACTCCTGGTCTTCCCACAGTCCTGCTTCACCTGCTGCCATCTCTTACTCGTGTGGTGACAACTCAGTCCTCCCAGTTGCCTGGACCAGTAATACTGGGGTCTTACTTGACTTCTCTTTTTCTCTCACTACTCTTTTCCCCCTTCCAAGCCAGCAGCAAATCTTGTTGGCTCTTCCTTCAACATAAATTCAGAATTCAACCACTTCTCTTCACCTCCACTGCCCCTTCCAGTCTGAGCCACCATTTTCCCTTGCCTTAGCTAGAACTGTAACCTCCTCATGGGTTTCCTTACATTATCTTTGCTTCTCTCCAATTCATTCTCACACACCAGCCAGAATGATCCTGTTAAAAACACATGAATTTTTGCGACTCTTCTGCTCGAATCCCACAGTGGCTTCCCATTTCGCTCAGAGTGAAAGGCAGAGTGATTTCAGTGGCCTGCCTTGCTGTTCCTCATGCTCCAGCCCACCCCACCCTGTTATATCTGTCCTCGTTGGTTAGTCCCTTCTGGTTCATCCCTGCTGACCCAGCCACATCTGCTCCTTTCTGTCCCTTAGTCATTCCTACCTCAGGGCCTTTGCTGCAGTTGGTCCTCTCTGCCTGGAAAGCTCTTACTTCGGTTACCTACTTGGCTCACTCCCTCAGTTCCTTCTTATCTTTGTTCAGGTCACATCCTTTCCATGAGGTTTCTGCCCACCACCCTATTTTATACTGGGATTTGTCCAACATCCCAATCCCCCTCTCCCTGGTATTTCTAGTTTTCCTTAATCAGCTATGCCATTTCTTCATCTTCACATATTGCATACATTTAAATTTTTTTATTGTATTTATTATTTATCATTCTGTCTCCCCACCTACTCCAGCTGGAATGTCAACTTCTCTAGGGCAGTGAACTTTGTCTAGTCTGTTCACAGACATATCACAAGAGCCTAGAACTGTGCTGAACAATCACTCATTAAATGAGAAAAAATAATTTAAAAAAAACTATATGGAAAAATTAATTCACAGCCAAAGCCATGTTCAATAAACCTCAGTAAAGGCCTATTTATTTTTTTTGCCGTGCCTAAATTTGGACCATCTATCATAGAGGGGAAAATAAAGGAGTCACTGTTAGTAATAAATTGTTAAGTGTTATTTTATTTTTGTTAAATAAACAACCTAAGCACATATGCACTGTCTCTTTCCCCCAGCACTGTACCACATATCTAGAACATTCTTTTTAAAAATTGAGTATATTTGTTCATACAGCCAGGCTTTATGAATAAGTGCTCTATGTTGTAATTCATAATAAATCTTGCTATAGAATACCAGTAAGCATAATCTCACCTCTTTCAGGTCTTCATATAATATTAACTTCACATTTTCATCATCAAGATGTTTGTTCCAGTTAATTGCAAAATCAAAAGCTTCCCCAAGAAACTAAAAACACAGGGAAAAAAATAACTTCTTAAGGGATTTTAAATAATTGAGGTTAAAAATGATAGAAGAAAGAATAAAATGAGGATAAAGTGCTTAATTTGTTTGCTAAAATATAAAATATACATATGTATATATGACCAAACAAGGTATTTATGAGATTACGAACCCCTGCTCTGAAAGAACTGGCAAAAGCCGGTCCTGTTATCAGATTTCTACTCGTTTTCTTATTCTCACAAATAGTAACACAACTGAGCAAGTTGTAAAAATGGTTTCACAAAAACTGTAAGGCATTCATGAACATTTAGGTGACTAAAATAATTCAGAAACAGTGAATAATACGTGAAAGCTGGTAGAAATAATGACAGAAAGAAATGGGACAGGTGTTTTCTAGACCAGCATTATCCAATAGGAGTGTCATGCAAGCCACATCTGTAACTTTAAATTTTCTAGTAGCCATGTTAAAAAAAGCAAAAAGAAACAGGTAAAATTAATTTTAATGTTTTCTTTTATTTACCTGGTAGATCCAAAAATATTACCGTTTCAGCATGTAATCAGCATAAGTAATTATTAATGAAATATTACACATTGATTTTTATATTTTAAGTCTACAAAAGCCAGTGGGTTTTTTATACATACAGAAAATCTGAGTTTGAATTCTAAGATTTTGTTAAAAATACTTGTTGTGTGTTTAGACTTAATAAAATCTATGATTGAAAAAGTAAATTCACACACTCAACTTGTGCCAGACATACTTAAAGGTTTTCAATAACTGAATTGAGTCTCTGTTTTAAAATGTAAATGTAAATAAATTCAAATAAAATAAAATTTAAAATTTTGCTATTTCACTTGCACTAATCACATTTCAAATACTCAGCTGCCACATGCGGCTAGTGGCTACCATGTTGGACAGTGCAGATCTAGACCTGGTTATCTGTGCTGCTTACTCGCTGTGTGACTTTGAGAAACTCCCTAAACCTCTTTGTACCTTAGTTTCCTCATCTGTAAAATGGGGTTATTATGAGTTTTAAGTGAATTAACACATGTCAGATGCTTAAAACAGTGCCTGATTAATAGTTCTCACTCAATAAATGTTAGCTAATATTATATCATTAATAATAATGATAATAATAATGATAATAATAAT